GGGGGGGGCATAGATTCCCAGAAGTGGGACACTGGATCAGAGGGTGGTCATCCTGTATATAACAGTGTGCGTCTCACTGCACCTTCAATAGCACTGAGTAGACCGTCAGTATTTAAACAGACCACATGATGCAAGAGTACAAGCTAGTGGCCCTTGGTTTATAGGAGGCATGGGAAGTCTGCTCTGACAGTTCAGTTTGTTCCTGGAATTTTTGTTGAAAAATATGACCCAATGATAGAAGATTCCTACAGAAGTCAAGTTGAAGTAGATTGCCAAAAGTGTATGCTCGAAATCCTGGACCCAGCAGGACAGAGAAATTTACAGTGATGAGGGATTTGTATATGAAGACCAGCCAAGGATTTGCACAAGCATATTCTACTACAGCTCAGCCCACGTTTAATGACTTACAGGACCATTTGATGGGTAAAGGGCACAGAAGATGTTTCAGAGATTTTGGTTGGCAATAAATGTGACCCGGAATATGAGGGAATAGTTGGCAAAGAACAGGTCAGAATTTAGCATGACAGTGGCGTGACTGTGCCTTTTTAGAATCTTCTGCAAAGTCAAAGATCAACATTAATGAGATATTTTATGAACTGGTCAAAACAGATAAATAGAAAAACACCAGTGGAAAAGAAGAAGCCTAAAAAGAAGTCATGTCTGCTGCTTTAGACCCCCAGTAAGCAGTAATCCTGGGCCAGATTACAGGAATGAGTTGGTGCCTAACTGGGAAGTGCCAGCATTCCAGACTTCAAAAATTAAATCTGAACAGGCTTCTCCTGTTTTATACATTTTGTGAATAACTGAAATCTTATATTGGTTTCCACAAATTCTCTGGAGAAAAAAAACAAATGCTCTCTGTATAGCTCTTGGAAAATAAGACAATAGTATTTCTCCTTTGAAATAGCACTTATAACAGATGTGAAAATAAATATACTTAACTCTAATATCATACAAAAGAGCATGGATGCATTTTAAATGCTAGATATTGCTAGTATAATCAAATGATTTCATACTGACCTTTTTTTCTAAAGATTTATTTATTTATTTGAGAGAGAGAGAGAGAGAGAGCCGGCTGAGCGGGGGGAGGGGCAGTGGGAGAGGGAGAGCAAGAATCCCCAGCCAACTCCATGCTGAGCGCGGAGCCCTTCACAGGGCTTGATCTCATGACCTCAAGATTATGACCTGAGCCAAAACCAAGAATCAGATGCCCAATCAAGTCACCTAGGCACCCCTCATATTGGCCTTTTTGTCATGATTTCACCCTGTCAAACACTAAAAAGTTGAACCATTATACTTATATCTATAATTATATAGATTATGAAATTTCCCCTCAAACTCATTGTAGCAGACAACTTTTTGAGTCATTGGCTTCATTTTGTATTTTAAAAATTATGAAATATCATTCTGTCTTTATATTCTACTTAAAATTGTACATAAAGCTTTGAAAAATGGGTCTTTTATAGGAAAAAAAACCTGAGATAACTGATTTCTGTGGCTTTCAAAGCTAAAATATATAATATACAAAACCAACTCTAATATTACTTCTTGTGTTTTACTGTCAGATTAAATTACAGCTTTTATGAATGATTAAATCTTAGTACATTTAAAAAAACTAAAGAAATATTATTTTTTTAAAAAATGCTCATTGGGGGCAGAACAAGATGGTGGAGGAGTAGGGGACCTGGATTTTGTCTCCTCTCAGGAA